AATTGCGGGCCTGTTTGGAAAGACAATGAGAGCTGGGCGAACAGTTTTACTATTTTGGATATATCTTTGGGAAAAGTCAAATAAAAACAAATCCTGACTAAAACCCATAAAATTGAAACAAAAAGTGATATTCTGGCCATAATCTTGAATTTCCGGCGAAAAAACGGAGACAAACCTCCTCCGAGAGTCAACAGGCGGCGCTATTTCGCTCTGATTTTTCACTGCTTTCTATGCGTGCACTGAACTAAAGGAAGCCCATTCGAAGACAAGGTAAAATCGACCACGTTTGCGGCCCCGGTGCAGGCAACCAACGTCCTTGGGGCCTCTTACCCCCCCCCCAGCGGCAACTTGAAAAAGAACGCAAAAAAAAGCAGAGTGTTCTTGGGTCATTCAGCTTTCCATTGATTTTCGATTTTAAGTAGGTTCCTTAACCAATGAAATTTCTAATTATTCACCAAAAACAAACTCAACACCCCCCTACAAAAGTGAAAGCTCCCAAGTCTGTCAGCAGCGGCCATTTTTTAAATGACATCCCTCCACCTTTTCAGTCTCTTGGAACAATTTTTCAGTAGCATTTTGCTGTGCTTGGCCCTGGGATGGGAGCCCTTGAATGTGGAGAGTTCATTCTGGGCCATTCTACCACAATCCCACAATTTCTTGGGCCACACAATCTCCTCTTTTTCAAATAAACTCTAGGGGTACTTTTTCAGCGCCTCGGTTTGGCGAAGAATTCTCCCTGAATTGGGCAGAGCACCCCTATGGGCGCGTATTTTGGTGTAGTGAGACGTGTCTGGACGGACGTGCAGTCCGGGGACTTTACCATATTGATGTGCGCGCATTAATTTGAATTTATCAAGGAAGAGCTGCCAGTGAGATTTGTGTGTAGGCCAATTGTGCATTTTTGCTACATGGTGCACTATTGTAGCGTTTTGATCGCTCAGTCTTTGCAGAGCAAAATTCTGTGCGATATAACTTGGTTATTAATGGTTTTGTTATCTACGTAAATATGAAAGACCCGAAGCAATTCTCTGATATTGCCAAATGGTTAAGATCATGGTTATCAGATCGTCAGATC